AGCTACGACGAGGAAGAACACGAAGCATTCATTTATATGGAATTGGAGAAGTTCTACACGGAAGATCATACCTTCTTCAAGGTCATCGTCGGCGACTTCAACGCCCCTCACCTTCGTTGGACTTGGGAGTCACCTGATGGACAGTTCCATAACGAGATAGACCACATCATCTTCAATCGAAGGTTTTGCCTGACCGACGTCGCTGTTGTTTCTACACGGGATCGGACCATCGTCTCCTCCGCGCAAGATTCCACTTTTCGATGCGTGTTGAGAGAGCAGCAAAGTTCAGGAAGCGAAGCCCCAGGACAGTCATCAACTGGGACCACTTCGCTTCCCTCGTCAGCTTATGGGAGGATTCCGTCATCGAAAACATCGACGAGGAGTACTATCGGCTCGTTGAACATCTTCACGATTGTGGCAGGAAGGCAGAGAGTTTGAAAGTCACCAAGGGACGTCTGTCTCCGGAAACTCTCGAACTGATACGCCAGCGTGGAGCCGCACGAGCTGCAGGCAATCACCGACTCACGTCCGAGCTTGCGAAGCTATGCAGAGAGGCGATAAAGGAAGATCTCAAGGAGCGAAGAGCAGCAGTATTAGCTGAAGCAGCAGAGGCTGGGAGGAGCATCCGCAATGCCCGCCGAAGCTTTGCCAGCTACAAGACCAAGATGACCTGCCTCCGACGTCCGGATGGAACAGTTACTGCATCCCGAAGGGCAATGGAGAAAGTCATCCACGACTTCTACTCGGATCTCTTCGATAGCCATGTCAACCGCAAGAGGATGGATACGTCGTCCCCTCAGTTCTCTCTTCCGAAGTCCGACACGCCATCAAGTCGGTGAAGAATCGTACAGCACCCGGTCTCGACAGGGTTAAACCGGAACATCTGAAGAATGCACCGCCAGTTATCATCAAAACTCTGGCTCGACTCTTCACGCGCTACCTGTCGGAATGCAAGGTACCCACTCCGTGGAAAACCAGCAGGACCGTGTTGCTGTACAAGAAGGGAGACTTGGACGACATTGGCAACTATCGCCCAATCTGCCTGCTGTCTGTAATCTACAAGCTATTCACTCGAGTCATCCTTAACAGGATCGGCAGAATACTAGATGAAGGACAGCCATGCGAGCAAGCAGGGTTCCGAAGAGGGTTCAGCACGATCGACCATATCCACACGGTTACAAGACTCATTGAAGTTTCACGAGAGTACAAGATGCCGCTTTGTCTCACGTTCATCGACTTGAAGAAGGCCTTCGACTCTGTGGAGACAGAAGCGGTCATCGAAGCCTTGGGCAACCAGGGCGTCCCTACTCAGTACATCAAGATTCTTCGTGAGCTCTACAGCAACTTTACGACCAGAATCTCACCATTCTACAAGGAGGTCATCATCGACGTCAAGAGAGGGGTTCGACAGGGCGACACCATCTCGCCCAAACTCTTCAGCGCCGCTCTCGAGAACGTCATGCGTCAACTGGAATGGGAAGACATGGGAGTGAAGGTCGACGGCCGGCAACTACACCACCTTCGTTTTGCTGACGACATCGTTCTTATAACGCCGAACATCGAGCAAGCGGAGCGAATGCTGGCTGATTTCGACTGCGCCTGTGGTAAGGTCGGTCTGCAGCTGAACCTAACGAAGACGATGTTTATGAGAAACGGATTGGTTCCTGATGCCCCATTCACGCTCAACGGAACGAACATCACCGAATGCTCCAGCTACGTGTACCTAGGTCGGGAAATCAATATGATGAACGATCTAGCTCCAGAGCTGAGCAGGAGGAAACGAGCGGCATGGGGAGCGTTCAAGAACATCGAGGGAGTAGTGAAGAAGACGAAGAACATCCGGCTCCGTGCCCACCTCTTCGATTCCGCTGTCCTTCCTGCCCTAACCTACGCCTCAGAGACTTGGACTCTGCGCAGGCAGGACGAGCATGCGGTCAGCGTTATCCAACGCGCTGTCGAGAGGACGATGCTAGGAGTAACCCTATACACGCAAGTGCAGAGGGGAATCCGGAGTTTACGCCAACGATCGAAGATCAGGGACGCTGCCGTTTTCGCCAAGGAATCGAAGATAAGGTGGGCCGGACACGTCATGCGATTTTGCGATGACCGTTGGACCAGAGCGGTTACCGACTGGATCCCTCGGGACGTCAAACGAACACCTGGACGACCGCCGGCCCGATGGAGATTCTTCACGAAGCTACGAAAGGAATGAAGAACACCGTGTCCCTCGAGCGAGGAGGGTCCACTGGACAACTCTTGCACGCGACAGGGACGAATGGAGACGTTGCTGGCGCCCGCTCGAGCAATTCGATGATCAACGGGACGACAGGTGATACAGGTGATATATGGTCCCTTGTTTATGGATCGAAATTTACGGATGGAAAAGCAACCCATTCCAAATTGAGGTAGAGATGGTGAGTAGTACCAGAAAGAAAGCGAAACCACGAAAAACGGCCCAGAACCGGAGAAATGGGACCCCTTCCTTGTCCGTTGATTTGAGCATTGATGGGACTCTCATCGCTTTGCCCTCTTCAACCCTACGCTCTCTCAGCTATCTAATCACTCGCCACCTATTGTACTACGGCGAGTGATCAGACGATCGGTGGGCGGAGATCGCCGAACTCGCCAACTTTGAGCCATGCTAGATCTCAGAGGTCAAATCTTTCGATGCCGATTGCGTGTCTGTCCGCACCTCAAGAGATTCACGCGCTCCCCACTAGGCGATTTCTCCCTTCTTCGACCTTCGTTTCTTTCCGTGCAATCCTCCTTTAAGTAA